GTGCACACTCGCAGGCGTCGTGCAATTTTGAAGTTTTGAAATGACATTAGCTTATCGGTTGACCAAATGCAAATGTCAGCTTTGGTCTGGATGTGGGCTCACCTTTTGACATTCCGATTGGCCACAGAAACTCATCTGGTAAACCCTTCAGCCGTGTCAAGTGTCGTGCTAACGAAATGCAATGCTCAAGGCCGAATGCCAGTCAACTTTCAGGATATCAGGATATCCTGCAGGAGGATATGCAAAATGAAAAATGCTTGGGGACAAATCAATTGCCCGGCACAGCTAAGCAATAGAATTGAGCTGTTTGTGCGCGCAACAGTGCGAATGCGCATTTTCTTCAAGGCCAGCACCATCAATCAAGAAAGAAAGTGTTTGTGGCGGAAGAAAATTGTTGCCATTTTTCAATATATTTTGTAGCCAAGAGGCTAGATAAACATGCCTTTAAAAGTCGTGCCATCGACGATACACGACTGAATCGTGTGGCTTCATTAAATCCGTATGGGGGTGGGTAAAAAAGCTATTTACACATTTAATTGACGCATTCTATTTTTGTCCGAAAGCGAACCACATAAAATGCCGCCATATTTTTCACAGCAGCAGTGACGACAAAAGGCACAGAGAGAGTAACTCAAAATGCGGCAACATGCGTAGTAACAACAATCAAAATGCTGGCCTGTTAAGTGGCAGGGCAAACAATTTTATGGCCCGCTGCCTGTTTGCTTGGCCTCTCTGAATATTTATCGCTAATATTGGTTATATTGCCACCATAATAACAAACCGCGGTCACAATAATCACATGTCCGATATACAACACATAGCCCATTATCTAGTGCGAATTTTCATCAAAAAGGCAAACTTTGACGCGTGGCTGATTTTGGGTTGGGCTCGGATCGCCGAAGTTTGGTTTTCTGATTTGCTGGATTAATTCATATATGGGGCAATAGCCTGTCAGTGGATTTCGCCTTGAGTTCTAACACTTTTGCCGGCAACTGTACGCATTCATTTTGGGTGTTGAGCTACGGTTAAAGGTTTGCTTTTTCAAGTGGGAATTGGCTCGAGTGGCTGCTACCAATTAGTACTTTTGGCGCCAAGTGTTTTCGCTCTTGAGTGCTTTATAAGGCAGTTATAGAGGCTAGAAACATGGAACACGAACAATAATTAAAGTGAATTTTTGCACCAACACTTTACAGTGACACATTCGCCGACAGGGTGCCAATCATCTTGGAAAATTATTTCAGAGGAAAGCCCCCATTTCGACAGGCTTATTCATTGGCATGTGCACCTTGAACCCGCCGCCGGGTGAAGTCGCATCCATTGTCGCCAGACAATAACAAGCCCGGGAAGATGAAAATGACTGGAAAGAGGAGAAAATCATGTCCGAACTCAGTGAGCGCCCTTCAACCCGAAATTCCCAAAAGCCAATGCACCGGAGGCTCCAGAGAATACGCCTCGAAATATATAAAAGCAAAATATCGTGGTGGGGAACTGCAATTCTTGGCGTGATATTTGCAAGATTCAAAATTGCTTGCATTTATCGTATATATTATGAACGCTATTTGCACATTATTTATTTGCACGGGTTTATTGAACTGCACACTTAACCCCTTCCTTCCTCTTTGGATGCGGAGCAAATAGTCGGAAAGCTTTCGCTGTTTGCCCTCTGAGTTTATGTGCCTACATTTCTTTTTTTTACATTTAAGTAAATTAAGCGAGCCGAAATAAATTCAATTTCCCAGCAGCGGAAGTTAATGTAATATGTAAATGAGTGTATGCGCATCAATTGCATTTTCCACTGCACAATAATTGCATTTTAAATGCTTTTAAATGTTTTAAGGTCAAACAGCAGCTGCCTTTTAGCCACTGGGCAATCAATCAGCCTTGCATGCAAATTATTTGTGCTGTGTGAGTGGCTGGCCAACGCTGCGTATGATGGATGTACGAAAAGTGCATAATTGGATTTGTAATCAATATTGATTCGAGCCAAAAAAGAATGCAGTGCAAAAGCCAACGCCAATGATCGATAGACAAAGGCAGCTCTCTCAATAGTTTTGTGCCACTAACCCAGTTTTTCGGCAAAGGCCGGTAAGGGGGTTCAAACTTGTTCGTTGAGAGGTTAAAGCACGGCAGGACGTTAACCCACAGCTGACCTGATTCAGCCGAGCCGAGTAATTCAATCCTTTTCTGGGCAGCATCCTCGTCGAAGGCGATCTCGCCTTGAGGTATTAAGTTCCTTTTAGCCACGTGCCAGCATCCTTCAGCACCTCCGACATCCCGCCGTCCACGATCGCAAGTAAATATCGATGAGGGGATGTTTTTTCAGCTCTTCGAGCTGATTTATTTGGCCGGCACACACTGTGCGGCTTGTTTGTCCACTTGACGCTCATCACGTTTGGCTATTAAGGCCATTAACACTTCCAGTCTTCTGGCCCCCGACTTTCCTCTTAGCGCCGGCCTTTTGACTTGGTTTCGTTTTTACGGCTTTTTTCTGGGGCATTATTTGAGCAGGGTGATTTGGGCTTATTGAAATTGTTGTGCTTTGTTTTTGGCAAAAGGATATAAGTGTCTTAGGAGGATAAAAAGGCAATATGGTCCTCAGCTGTGATATTTGTTCAGTACTCTTTATTTTAATCTTCATGGGAGCAAACAACGTGGACAAGTTTTTTCATTACAAACATTTTCCATTCTTATGGTCAAATGCACGTGGGTGTAAGAATTGCTTTTTCTTCAAAATTACTTGTTCGCAGCTTGTTACCTTGCAACTTGTTGACGGAATGGAAAGTTCTTAATTTAAGGTGTTTGAAACTGTCAAACTTGTCATGTTTTTAATGCAACAATGGCGTTTAGTGAGTGCCCGAACGTCAATCACACTTTGTAGCTACCTTCAGTTCAAATATTTCAACTAATTTTTACTTGAACGATAATTTAATGTGGCACAATCTATATCACTAATCACTAGGTCTCATGAAAATATCATACACAACAATACTCTAATAAATCACTAGATAGCGTATACATATGAATATTTATCAATTTGCTAATTAGGGCTTTTATAAAATTGGTATGTATACGTATGAACTGTGCAATCAGCTTAAGTTGGTCTACACTATAATTATAAAGCAAGAAATACAAATTAAAAATGTTCTGGAACTATTTTACCCAGCTTTATTACGATTTTTTATAGTATTCTATTATATATAATATTATAAATTATATATAATTTTTTGTTTTATTCAGAACATAAATTCAGAGGTGACACATTACTGCTTAATCGCATTCAATTTATAGCTGACCAACTTACTAGTCTTGTCTGTAGCTCAAATATATTATATAAAACCATATTCAAGTGATTTCACTCTTGCGCCATTTTTATTGGACTTCGCCGTTTCGCACATCGTAAAACCAAGAAATATAAACATCATTTGACATGCGTGACTGGGGTTTAAGCTCGTGCTGAACTTTTAAGCCATGCTTCTGCCGCGTGCTCTTAAAAATTGATTCCAGAACCTCCAAAAATTTAATCAATTTCGCAAACGGAAAAGAATTCCCCAATTGACTTACTTAAAATTTATTGCATTCGCTGAGCTTCCGACGGCTCTGTGCCGCTCGTAAATCAATGGACTAAAAGACCTTAACTATTCTTAATGAAAAATTATATCAGTCGATTTGATTTGTCATTTGAAAGAAGAGTAATAGAAAGCTGACTGGAAAAGTTTGCTGTCTGGTTATTAAACAATACCAATCGATTTCGTTTGTTCGTGGGGGCAATTGTTTCTGAAATGGAAAATTTTACATTTTACTTTATTTTAAAGTTGAACTTGCATGTTTTTGCCAACAGGAAGGTATTCAATTAAGAATCTTCCTCTTTTATTTTCTTATTGAAGAATGCTTTTCGGAAACCAATTGGCCCTCGGACAGCGACTTTTCTTAATTGACTTTCAGTGTCAGAGCTGCTAGAAAGTAAAAAGACTGTGAGCTGGACTCATGGGAAAGTTGTATTTAATTTGCTAATTGTTGCACTTAAGGTCGAGGAATGCGAAATTTGCGTGCCACAAAACGGAAAATTAGTCAACAAAAGACGGATCCGCAGCGGCGATGTTTGAGATCGTATAAGCGCGAAAATACATTAAGCTGTCAATCTTCATTCCGCACACAAACTTACGCAAGTCAGCCGACTGAAAATATTTTGGCAACGTTGAATAGCCGGAGGGCAAAGGGCAGGGGGCACGTTGAGTGGCACTTTTTGAACTTTGGCATCGTCGAAGCTTGCCTCAATTGATTCGAGTTGCCATCTGATGCAGACAGACAGACACATCCAGAAATTCAGTCAGCTGCCAAAGGGCAACAAACAATTTCACTAATCGACTTAAATGGAGGCACTCAAAATGCTTTCTCAAAAGTCGACAGGTGAAAAATTCGAACTTCACAATTTGCCTTTGACAAATCTGGGCAGAGAAACTGATCATCCACCCCAGAGTTCAATGGGTCTTTTGCTGAGCATTAGCTGACATAACTTGAACTCTACCACCTTCGATGGCAAAAGTCGAGTAATCAGTGTCCTTTTCAGGGCAAAGTCATTGATTTATGGCAGGCAACCTTTGTGACTTTGTGACTTTGACCAACATCCTTGTTACATGAGAGCGTATGAGACCTGCCACCTTTCGACCATTGATAAGCCAGGGGAATATTGAGTTGGGATCGACCCAGAAACGCCGAAAAATACAAAGACATTCCATATACAAACATCTACACTTAAGCTGCAACTGACAATAAAGGTATTGTTGTTTGCATGGGGGCAGGAAAAATATTTCCCCCATTTTATTGACTCAACTATTTAGCAAAATGATTGTTTATTGTTAGTTTTCATTGTCTGTTTGTATCGCATAAAATGTTAATAAGTCAAGAGCAGGCACAAGACGATGACTCGCATTTTCCATATTTTTCCAATCTTCCTACCCGGGGCTGAATATTAAATAGTTATTTTCCTGTTTATTTTGCAGCTTTCCTGCCCGCAATGTCAAGGACGTTGTCGCATTGTCGTTGCCATCCACGAGGCTGAAGCTAATTTCATTGAGGAGGAAAACGAGGGGATCCTGCGAAGGGTAAGCAATTGCCAACAATTCCCAATAGGAAACGAAAATGGTAGGAATAAAATAACGTAAAAGGGCAATAGGCCAATGGATACCCTAATCGAAGCTGGGGAGTGCTCAATTTGAATTTAAAAATCTCTTTCTTAGTGTGATTAACTTTTGGGCTATTTTATGCTGAAAGCATCCTTGAATGAATTACCATTTTCAAAAGAACTGAATAAATGAATTTTAATTCCATGGAGTGCAGGGTAGAGTAAGTGATACCTGAGTCAATAAAAGCCAATTGCTAAGCGTTGGTTTTTAGTGTAGTTTAAAAACTTACTTCAAATTCCTATTTCCAAATAGATTTTCTTAGCTCAATTCATGAAGGAAACTATAATAGCTAAAATTGTTGGCTTACTCTATCATTTATTATCCATATTAAAGATAAGAAGGGTATTTTACTTTTTGGCTTGCCTCAAATTTCCCACCCAGGCTAAAATAGCAGCTTCCAGCTTTGTTCTGGCCGAAATTTCAATCAGTTTTCCTCACACATATGTGCTCCTCACTATATTGGCTGGTTTGTTTGTGCGAGCTTCTGTCGAAAATCATAGTTATTTTGGGGGCACGTGCACACACACTCACACGAAATCTTGCCTTCGAAATTTTCTGAATTTCTCCTGACAGCTGAATCCGAAAAAAGTTACATAAAGCCTCATTGTTTCGGCCCAAATTGCAACTTTTGATTAGCACTCTGATGTAATAATCAACTTTGGGCCACAAATCCTGCCATGGCATTTGCCGGGCAGGAAAAGCGTTGCTGTTGGCATTGTGAGGGGCAATTCATAAATACATATTATTGAGTGAATGAAGGGTTTCCTTGTGCCGGAGCACTATTATTATTGGCCTGCCATACTCTGGAGATGGCATCGAGCACTGCCTCTTATTTATTGAACCCCTCCACCTCTGAACAAGCACTATTGTGAAGTGGCGCCTATTGAGTTTCTTCGGTTTAAATGGCTAAACATTCCGAGCGCCTCTGATCTGAAGTTTTTCCGCAAGTTGAGCGCTTTCCGTGCCATTTTCGCTATTGTTGCCATGCGGACTGCGAGTTTGGGGAACTACAACGCAAAGTAATTGCTCTGGGTGTTCTTGTTCGACCCCAGTGGTAAAGGTCGTTTAGTTCATAAAAAATAAGGTTGGCTTAAAGCCTTAATACTAAATACTGTAAATTATACTACATATGATTTGAAAACAATTTCAGCACTAAGTTTAATCAAACTGCGTGATATATATTTCTTCACCATTGTTCCGCAGTGGGTTAAGAGATAAACGTTCAGCCGATTACGTCTTGGAGGGATATGAGTAACTGCTTATCAAAGGCCAACGCAGATAGACAAGCCAGCAGTTTCATGGTCCTTCGCTCATAAATGTCAAAATAACAATTGCAGTGCCTTTGAAGTGCAATCTTTTCGCTCAGCTTGCACATTTAATGGCGTTCCACTCTCATTGCACTTTAGCTGAGCTCAGAACTGGAGACGCCAATGGCTCATATTTCCTAGCTGGACTCTGTTTATGATGATATATTAATGCGCCAGCCAAGAGGTGCCATAAACTGAAGCCACTTGAAGCCACCAGCCACCAGATTGCGGTGTTTTGGGGCAGGGGGTCCATCGAGATTGCAGCTCTCGGGATCCACATGCCAAACATGTTATACCTCGCATATATATTAAGCGCTTAGTTATATGCTACTTAACACTTCCCTCCATTTATTCTTGCTCTGGAGCGAAAATTGTTTATTTTCATTGCCATAAATTTTGATGGCCAAGCTGGTCGCGCCATAAATCTTCCAGTTTAATCCCGCTCCTCCCGTTCGATAATGCCTCTTTACTTCGCAACCTCGTTCGAATGGATTCAGTTATAATTGCTTTTCCAATCAGCTGCATTGACTCTAGTCTCTGGACCCTGGCTATGTGGAAAATCAGTGGAAGGAGGCGCCTCATGCGTCAGCTAAGTGTCAACTTTTTGAAATTGCTAATCATGCGAGGAGCACACAAAGTCAGCCATTCAGTTTTCCGTCCGAGCATGGGGCCAAATGACGTTATGTGTTTGTTCGATAAACAAAATGTTGTGGCTATAGAGACGTTTTAGTACGCACACACAATATATGGGCAATATCTTTTTTTCGTGTATTTTGCTTTACGGCTAGGCCAACACACTTACCCACATGCTGGCCTGCTCTCAAAGGGGGAAAACGGAAATACGAGCTGGAAAATGGGTCAACGGGTGTGAGTTCCCAGAAAGTCGTTTTTCTTCATAAAGTTCACGTCAAACGTTCTCACGTTCCTTAAAGCGAACAAGTGAACTTCCAGAATTGTGGTAGAAGGTGTCTAGGCGTATACTTAACTTCGTTGCTTAATTTTTCGTTACTTGTTAAGAGCTTCCGCATTTTATTTAAAGGAATTTTATTTTATATTTATACACAACATTTTTTATGATTTGCAACACAAAACGTAGACGTCACTTCTTGTCTATTCTTAGAACTTGATTTACGGCAAATAAATGAATGAATTTGAATGTGCAAGCTCGATGAAACTTTTTCAATGCGCATGTTACGTATACGCAGTGTTGTACGTTGCCTATTAACTCACGCTGTGCGTAGGTAATATTTCTTCCTTTGCCAGAGAACTCATTCAAAGACTCGCAGTATACGTAACGTATTATTCATTCATTAGAAAAAATAAATTGTATTTTCGTGTTTTGGCTGCCTGCCAATAGCCAACAAACCTAGGGAAAACTTATCTCACGTTTTCGGTGCGGTTGTGCTTGAATTTATCGCAAGATAAGCCACTGGCCACTTTCTAATCGCGGCCAAGTGATTTGGCATTACCTTTGAGGCTTTCTGTGTGTCAAAGTTGGCCTCATCTATCACGGATGCGGATGTTTTTGGTGCCACACTGTCCCTGATACAACATTCCTTGATGTCATATCGATTTTCATCAGACCACATGCCCCATTCCTGGCACTCCCCCCACCCATGGAGCTCTTCCCCCTTTTGAATTGGACACGAAAAAGTGTCAGTTGACTGACGGAACTCGTGTTTGCGAAATTGTTCGATTATCTTGTCTGCGCATTGTTTTTTTTCACTTTTTTTTCACTTTGCCATGTACTCCTCCTTGGTGTTGGTTTTGGTTTTCGCCTTTGGCTTAAAGGTGTTAACTTTATCGGTCCCACTGGTCAGCAATTGTCCGTATTTTGTTCATTTACAATGCAAACACTTGTTCGCCGGAATGAAAAGACATTTGATATTCATCGCTCCGCGGTTGGTTGCCGTTTTACCATTTTATATAATTTGTTTTTCATTGAAAAATATGAAATATAAATTCCCTTGCAATGTACTTTGGCACGTACCATTGGGCCAACAAACAAAAAGAAAATAAATAAATAAATAAGCGAAAACAAAGTATCAAAAACAATTGAAGTGAATAATTCGGTTGAATTCGAGTAATTGGAGACTTGAAGTCATTTCGCACTGAGGATTTCGACTAATGCGTTACAAATTCGATTGCTTTCAAAAGATTTTTAAAACTAACTGAAGAGAAAAACCAATGACATTTTATTTGCTGCAGAGCTATTAATCAGACAAGAACCTTAGGCCTATAATACAATAATAAATTCCCCGTATGTTATCATCTTCGACCAATGGCCTCTAGTGCTATTATAAAGTATTGTGTAATTCATATAAACAAACTATTTATTTGTCCCCGTTCAGTGCTCTGCACTTCATTTTCTCCGGTTCTTCCCCAGACTCAAACGGGTTAATAAATACCTAATAATGGGTTCATTCGAAAGTTCTAGTCGGATCCGCCTTGTCAATATCCGGAGTAAATAGCACCCATTAGGGTCCATTAGAACCACAGAAAGTGTATGAATAAACATTAACGTGGATCTATAGCGATTAAATTTGATCCGAGGGTATCATTTAACAAATGCTGCCAACGTCATCGGTCAAGCTGCGGAGCTATGGGACTTTACTCAAGCAGTTTAAGATAATTTCGTTGAGCACTTGGTTTTCTATGGCGTTGCAGTGACTGCTTGTATTGACTCTTTTTATGCTCTTCCAAAGCGAATGTTGATTTCATACAAGAGTTTGCCAAGCTAGCAACGCGATAAATGCGACAAAGCCGGCCAAATAGATATGGAGTCATATAGCCATTTGATCATTAAGCTATTCAAAGTTTTGATCAAAAAGCTGGACAATATAGTATAGCTATCAAAGAACAGAAGAAAAATTGAAAAGAGTATATAAGTTTCGGCTTGCCGATGCTAGCTAGCTTTCCCGTTTTTTTGCAACCTTGCAATTTTCAACACAATTGCATTTTGTGACCACAACAATGGCAATTATAAGGGGAGGGGTCACCAGGTGGGCAACCTGAAGCCAAACTGGCAACCAGCTTGCTTAGAACCCGGTTCAATGAACCCTCAACTTTCGTTAGAAACGCCATTCCGGTGGCAACCACAGAAAGCGATTAAATTAACCACCGCCGATGGTTAAGGCAATTATTATTTTGGATTTCTTTGCAACTTGATAGTTGGTTTTGCTGCCAAGAAGCCAACGTTTTTATAGTTGATGCAAACGAAGTGCAAGACCGCAGCCCAAACCGCCAAAAGCCGAAAATAACAGCAAGTACAACGAGCTAACTATCTGTAAACAAGTTCAAGTCACTAACGACTTACAAGTTCAACATCTATTCTCGGCTTTATAGAACTTGTGGGCAGTTTGATGGTTATTTTCTATGCAGTTATCTACAAAAGTTCTAAGCTGTGAAGTTCAGATTTCAATTAAAATGCAATTGACTGTTGATTCTATTTTGGTTTTCGGAGCAAATGAACATATGACACACAAGCACAAGTGAAAAGCATTTGAAAGTTGATGCCCATAACGAACTTAAATTTTTCCACTGAATTCTAACTTTATTTTAAGAAACACTTTTAAAACGACAGAGTCAACCTTTTATTTGTTTGATGTAAGC